CTTGTACGCTGAAACCGAAAATGAAATCCATTGTTCTCTACCACGTACAGATTTTCACAAAACGTCATAATGCAATACACAAAAGAAAGACCACAACATATTGCTTTGAGACTAAAAGATGTAGATTTCACAAAAATATCAGGATGAATGAGGACCCATATTTATTCAGTTTGTTTGTATTTTTATTAACAAACATAATTATAAAAATGTCAATTGTGGTGAAAGAAATTATGATTTGATCTAAGTAAGAGTTTTTTCTTCCCAATTTGTAAAAAAATCCTAAGTGATAAAAAAAAAATGCATGTTATTTTTGAAATCTAAGTAGCTGAATTATGGAAAATCCGTTATTAAAACCAAAACAACTTTTATGAAGTTTAAGTTCGCAGGGGTATGTTATTCATTCACCAATAAAATATTTATACTGTTACACTATCAATAAACACAAAAACAGCATCATTCAATAAAATTCTTAGGAAATTGAAACAACCAAAAACAAATTTATAGATTGTTGACCATTATAAATACATAGACTGTACAACCAAAGAACACGTACACAGTAGATTAGTCATCATTTATGAAAGTATATAGTTTGGTTTCATCAATACAATGTTTTATAATCATTCATCACTAAAACAAGAATTTCTATCTTCTGAAAATTGTTCATCAATTAATAAAACATGTGGATTACTCATCCATCAATAGAGCATGTGAGCTATTCATCACCCAATAAAAATTATAGATATTTATCTGTAAAAATATATTTCGATGATTTATTAAATTATATAGCTAAATGAATGAAAAACACTTGCAAAAATTGAAAATGTATGTAATAGTAAAGGTCATAGAAATTTCACACAAATGTTTCAAGAACATGTCAATAAAATTTCAAACAAAGTAATACAAATACAAAGATATTACAATCAGTAACTTCAATGAAATTATATACTCATATCTCTGTAACTTACTTAGAAATATTCAGTTTATTAACCTTCGTAATATTTAATACTTATATAACTACTGATGTTTTGAACTACGTACTATAAATGTACAAGTGTGCACAGATCATAGTTTCTTAATTTAAGTAATTTCTATTTCTTGTTAAATTCAAGTAACTATTATTATTTAGTGTTATATTATTCAGGCTGAATATTTGTGTAAGAAACTAGTAAGTGAATCCTTTTGTAGCTATGAGTATCTATAACTAGACATTGTGGGCCTCACTGGATACTTCACACACACAGTTTTTTATCCTATTTAACAACTTAAATCTATGTTTGAGGAATAATTTAACACTATGTGCATGGGTAGGGATCAAAGTGCACATATAACAGCTTTTACAGAGTTACATTCAAAACTTAATAAAACAACTTTTATTATTAATGTACATCAATAAACTTGGAATTAAAATATAGTTTATAATTCAAACTTTAATAATATGCAAGTTTTGATTTCATAATTTAAATAAGTTCTCAGTCTTCACTTTATGTATTATGTGATTCATCTCTGCTCTGAATTCTCACTTTAGATTTTCTTTCTTCCCTTATATGGGATTTAAAATGTCTATTAATAAAAAAAAACTCTCTCTCTCTCTATATATATATATATATATAAAGGTAAGAATTTAAAATAATGGGTTTCCCACCTTTCTTTTTTTTCTGAGATATTAAATACTTTGTTACACCCACTATATAAGCTCCTTCCAACTCTTCATGCTTTTGAATTTACTTATTTACTCAAGCTAATTTATCAATGGTACATACTCATAACCAACAGAAAAGCCATTTTGTATATTATGCAGTTATTATGTTTTTATATTAATTTATTTGGGTGAAAGATGCCATTTCCCAAGTAAATAGTATTGAGTGAATACTAAAATCAGAACTCTGATGAGTAATGTAATTTTTTAAGCCTTCTTACAGGTCAGTTAGAAAGTCGGGTAAATCATGAGAGTTTTAAAGCATTAAGTTTTACTGTTTGAACTATTGTTTGTGTTTCTCTATTTGAAAGTTACATGCATTATTTTTAGACAACCAACTTAGTGAGAAAAATTTAAGGTTACTGAAGACCCACTTCTAAGAGCAAAAGGACACCAACCTTCATGCAAGTGCTAAACATATTATTTTTATGTATATTTTTTATTGATTGATTTTTTTAACAAAATTAACTAAAATATAAAAATTAAAAACTTATTAGGTTAGATAAAAAAACACCTAAGAAACAAAAAAAAAATTTTCATCTCGGGGAATGCTCAAGGAATATAAGTATTTAGGTGTCCCACCAAGTAACCCGAAATTTTGTTTACTCTAAACTCTCTGCATTTCCACTGGTTAATTTATTGTTATTTGGGGTCATTAAACATGGTTCAAAGGGCAATAAACAATAAACTTAAATGAAAACAGATGTAAACTGTTACAAGCCTTAGGCTGTTTAGGGTAAATAATTGTAATTTCCTTTTACAATCAGTGCTCATTATAGAAAGAAGAAAGTATAATTTAAATTTATTTCATAAGTCTTTGTGGTGTTACAAGGTTGATCAAATGGACCAAGCCATATAACATTATAGTAAAGAAAATAACAGATAAGATATAAAGTTTAACTCAAAAGAACAACTGATATCAATTGGTAGGTTCTATAGGTTATTTGAAACTGTAAAATGAAAAAAGTAGTTTGAAAATCACCTTGCACTCACACTAGTCACAGTCTGAGTCAAACTAACTAAAACTAATTCAGAGATAAATCTTTAGTAGAAATACTTTATTAAAAATTGTTATTTTTTTTATGTGTGCACATACTTGTAATTTGTACTAAAAGAATTCCAAATTTCATGAAGATACAATAATAAAATTCAGAATTATAGGATTTATAGAAAACATTTATTCTCCAATACAGGTTTAGACTAACCCCATTCATGTAGTGTTAATGTAACTACGAGTACATATAACTAGACACTGTGGATACTATGGAATCTTTCACACAGTTTTTCATCCTATGTAACAACTGGAAATATCAAAAAACATAAAACAATTATATGAGATGTGCATACACCTCAAAAAATAGTGAAGAACTACATATCTACCACAGAAGTGAAAAATACATGAAAAGTAAATACTCTGTTAAGCTTTACAATATAAAGTAATAAAGTTGAGACAATATATAATTGGCATAAGAAAGCAAGCTCACTCAGACACACAACAAAGTACAATTTGTAAGCAGTCCTAATCCTTAGCTAATAAAAAAAAACCTGTGAATTGTTTTATCTTCACTTGAAGAAAGCACTTAATAACGTAATACAAAAAACTGACTATTATAGCAATTAGATGATAAGTGCTGTTCTCTGATCAGATAATTTGATTAGAAAGGTTCTTTTGTTTAAAGACTTTCATTGTTTATTATTTACACGTGTTAAAGAAATATAGGCCATATATTTACCTAAATACTCTACAGAGTTTTAATTATCTTTCAGAGTAAGTAGGTAATATTACTAAAGTAGGTGGGTAACCTTTGTCAATGTAAGGTGAAGCTTGGGCCAAAGGCACTATCCTCCTAAAAACTAATATAGTGAAAATAAACTAGTTTAATAAATCATCTTAAAAAGTTATAGCTACAATCACTAACAATAACTCAGTGGGTTTAGCTCAATGTTTGTTCTAATGTTATGATAGTTTTCATCTACATGTTAAGTTATGAAATACTTTCCTAATGATATATTATATGCTACGTGTTTACTCTTTTCATAGATATATGTATACCAATAAGAAAGGTTGCATTTGGATGGCTTGGTATTTGGTTTTAATTGTCTGGAGATAAAGAGTAACTTTAATATGTAGATTGACCTACTGTTACCTCATTCATTCTTATGTTCTAACAAAATACTAATTCATGATTTAAAATAAATGAACAAACATACTTAAAATTATGATCTGTGATACATCCAAATTTTTTATTTTCTCATAACTTACCTTCAAGTCGGTTCTGAAACTCTGAATCTGACAAATTCCACTTCTCTGTGTGAACAGTTATCCCCCCAAACCTAGTAACAAATATCTAAATAAGTTCAAGTACCATTATGTGATCAGTAATGTATATTTGAATAAAATATATTTTCTTCAAAGATTTATTAAATATAATTGAAATTAAATCATTAATTCCCTTTTTTTTCATTGAAACTATTAAGCACTAAAACATAATTTAATTTTGCCCTCATTTTAATAAACTTTTGAAAGTGTCACAAGCTTGTAGTCACCAAAAATGCACAATTTATTATCAATTTTATTTATCAGTAAAGATATTTTAGGAGAAACTTCAGCCACTTGATACGAGTTCTCTAACATCAAGGCATTAAAAATTTTAACAAAATATATTATTGTGAATTTTCCAAAGTACTAAGCAAACTAAGATTTATGAAACACACTGCACACTTGCAGTGTAATGTATCAAAGTGACTTCATCACATACAATTATAAGTAATTTTCACTTATCTTTCCAGCATCTTAGTATACTTTAACCTTGATGCAAGTTTTTAGTAAACTGGTTTAATATATATAATATTAAAAAGATATAACTATACTCACTAATAACCAAATAAGTGGGTTTAACTAAATGTTTGTTTTAATGTCATGATAATTTTCTTCTTAGTTAACTTGACATATGGCCAGTTAAGAATGTTACAGAAATTTTCATGAATATTTACTATAAGAAAATGAAACTACGCTAAAATAAATACCTGTCAATATTTCCTTGAAACAAATTCATTGCTAAACAGTACAACCTGGTTGATAATATAATCCTCTTCGAAATTAATAATGGACCCCAAAATCCGACATTTTTCCAAAATGTAAAGTTCTGTGTGAACAAAAACAAAAAACAAAGATTCACTTTGCCCCATATAATTTCTAATCACTAATAAATTAGTTAAATTAAAAATATAATAAATATTACAGTAGTACTTGGCAAGATAACTGTGAACCAAAGAATTCATAGTTCTATATTAAACTATATTAGAAGTCAGAGGTACTACATACTTACATAGCCACTACAATTCTGAAAAATATTAATAATATTGTCAATTATAACACTGCAGAACACTACTGAAATACTTACTCTAGAATTTCACTTCACAGCATGCTACATCCATTTCTTTCACATAAAGTATTTTGAATTATAAATCAGACATTCGTGTCGATGCCTGTTCTGTATGTAAAAAAGTACAAGGAAAAAAAAACTTGAGTTTAAAAAAAATCCTGTTCCGAGTTATGACAAAACAAATCTTTATCAATGCAGAATTACAAAATGAAAATATCACTAGTGATTTAATTATATTGTAAACAATTATAGTCATTATAAAAGAAAGTCCCTAACCATTAATTCTGCTAACACTCACTTCACTCACGATCTCATTTTAGAAACAGAATTACTTTTACATGATGTGTGAGCCCACAGACCTAAAGTTGACAAGAGTATGTTGTGAAGAATTAAGTTATCATTTCTTCCTTCAGATGCAGACACCTGTAGAAACATAATATAATGTTTTGGAACAACATGGGACCTACTGGTCCATCTCAGCTGTCCCATAATCTAAACTAAATCAATTAATGAATAAATCTATTAAAAAAAATCTTAAAGCCAACCCTTATTACTCATATACTTATCAAGCTTTCTCTTAAACTCACTTAAAGTTCCTGCCTCCACACCATCCAAAGGCAACCCATTCCAAAAGGCCAACTACTCTGTCAGAAAAATAACTGTCTTAGCTGAAGATGACTCCTACGCTGCCAAGATTTATATTTATGTCTCCTAGTCCTACTATTCTCACTGTGAAGTATGAAAAAAGATATTGCATCAACACTATCAATTTCCTTTACAACCTTAAATGCCTCAATCATATCCCATCTATCTCTTCTTATATGAAAACCTCTCTATCCCAGGCACCATTCTAGTAACCCTCCTCTGAACCTTTTTCAACAATTCAATGTCTTTCCTAAGTTAAAAAGCCCAAGACTGAACACAATACTCCAAATTTGGCATAACTAGTGGCCTGTAC